ATTTAGAAAATAGGTTCAAAAGCATTTTATCAAACTAGCCTTCTTTGCTACTGTATTTTGTTAGCTACACTATAACAAAAACTGCAAATGCAAAAATAAAAAGTAGCAGATTTGACAATACAAAGTCCAAAATGTGTCCGTTTTGTTATCATGTATAAAGGCCATATAAACAGCTTTATAAATACTGTGCAGGTGGAAAAGTAAAAATCACCAAATGCACTATGCTTAGGGTGAGAGATTGCACTATTTACACACAATCCTCTATATATATTGCTATGTTTCATTGTAGATTCTGAAATATTTGCAAAGACACAAAAATGCGATTATTTAAACATTTGTAAGTTAGTATAACTTGTTAAGAGGAGATGCACAGGTGAAAGAACATGACATAGGAGTAAGTACTGAACAAAAAATATATAATCAATAGAACCATATGGTACAGGTTTTCCATCAGATCTCATATTATCACCACATCATGGAATGATACAGCCATTTCATAACAGAGAGCTGCTTCCCCATGCAACCAGAATCAGATATGTAAGGATATATATCAGGCCTCCCAACTGTCCCAAATAACACTCAAATAAGCTCAGGGTAGAGGGTAGATTCAAGGTAATAAGGTTAAGACGAGTCGTGGTGGTTATGGTGATTGGACAATCCCCTAGGATGTTATAGTGATTGCAAACTAAATTGCATAGCAGTTTTCATAATTCAGAACACGTCCTGATACCTGTTTTTACCGGGACAGAAAATGAAAAAGTGAGATGACCCTGGCAAAAACAAGTATGTTATCAGTAATACAGCATATCTCTGTTATATGTTTTCATATTTCAATATTCATTAACCCCTTAAGGACCAAACTTCTGGAATAAAAGGGACCTTAAGGGGTTGAACCATAATTGGGATAAATGTTTGGTAATTACCCTTCCTCTAGGCAGGAAGAGTACAGTTACTCCTTTTGCCCTGTGTCTGTTTCAGGGACAGGATTAATCAACAAGTAAACTGAATTTGTTTCTGTGTTTTCCCTGTGAAGAGTTTATCCCAGCCAAATTACTGTAGCTAAGCTCTTATAGGAGTAAAATTAGCTGAGCTCTTATAGGAGTAAAATTAGCTGAGCTCTTATAAGAGTAAAATTAGATTTTCTAAATTTAAATGTTCTCTGGTTGATCCCATATGACATTGTTTTTCAGAGCTAAATTAAATGAGATTTTTTTTTTTTATGCTCCCACAATTTTATATTGGTCACCATTTTTTTGTACTGGAGCAGTCCAGTAAATATTATTTTCTACCACAGAAAGAAGTAGCCTTATTTAAGAATAGTTTCTCGAGCTAGTGTAAGTTTTTTTAAAAACAAATTCACTATTCACAAAGTCTATTGATTGTTAAGAACCCTAGAACCACTTACCAATGCCTGGCCATGATAAACTGATCACTGAAACCATTGTCATTGGCTGGGAGTGAAGTGAACATAGCCTTAGTCGGATGGGAGGATGGCAGACTTCTCTAATCTGTTATACCATGGTTGGTGTGTCTAAGGCCACCAGTTTGGGTTAGGTGGTAGGTGCTGTGGAGGCAGATTTGGGTAGTCCAGTAGGGACCAGGATAAACCCTGCCAGTCCAAGGCGGGGGGGGGAGGGTAGGAGTGCTTCAAGACACTTTAGTGGCTGATGTGCGGGGAGATCTGCCGCCTCTACCCAGCTATGTTGCAGCAGCAGTGGATCTCCAGCCCCCAGTGAATGGCAGACTCCGTTAAAGTCTCAGATTGTTGCTCTGGACACCCCTGATTGTGGTAGTGCCAGTTGGTAGGTTAAAATGCTGATTGGCCGGGGTTAAAACCCCCAAATCGGCTTAGTTTGCAGGAGCATGAGACCCATGTGTCTGCTCTGCTTGATGGATAGTCTCTGCCCCAAGTCGTCTTCTTTTTTTTTTTTTTTTATCTTTATTTTTGTTGTGTGTGGAATAACATTAGGCTTGCTCAGCCACAATAGCAGTCGCAAGCAGAATGATAACAGGCATTATAAGGATGACATGGCAAATAAATAGACAGCACAATTTTTTAAGTTTTTAATAATATGAGGGATTGACAGTGTAGCGACAAAACGTATTATAGGATACATGCTTTTCTTGCTGTCTATGGTGATAATGTAGGTTAAAGTTCAACTTTTATAGTACATGCTAGGCAAATACAAAAATTTACGTGTATATATGAACAGGCTTAGATAGTTCAAAGCTTGTAGTACATGCTAGGCAAATAAACAAATTTACGTTTATATATAAACCGGCTTAGACATATTTTAATGCAGACAGGGTTATTTCTCAAGATAGTACCTCACTATTATTTTAAGTGAAATAATGAAACACGCTTACTGGATATGACAGTGTGTTACATGTTCTGGCATTTAAGTAAATACTTGTAAAAACAGGTCTTCCCCGTAGATTACAGTTAGCTAGAGTCAGACACAGACATTTAGTTAAAAAAAAGAAGGAAAATATAATGTGAGAGTGAAGGTAAGAGCTGGAGAGATAGACATATAATTTACTCTGACTAAGGCATGTCTCCTCGCTATTATTTAAGTGAGTCCTTGTCAATGTTTTTTTGACCCAGGTTGCGGGTTGCCATGCCAGCCCCCTGATACGGTAAGTGAGCAGTCATCCGACACCTCTTCGAGGTTTATTGCTCGGGATTGGGCTCAGTCCAAAAATGCAGCATCGTGGAGGTGGGGCACCGCTCTGGCCCCGGTGCTGTGTGAGAGCTGGTACCATTTTCCCACAAGCCTGTGGTCCTGTGAGGTCTTCCCTTTTGGGATGGTGTGGTGGGTCCTGCGGTCAGTCGCTGTGTGTAGCCACTTTTGCCTTTCGGCCCTGCACCTGTGTGGCCGGTGCCTGCGGGTTATGGTCATTGTTGCTCTCTTCACGGGCGGGCATCTTGTGGGGATGGCTGAGGTGGGGGATTGCTTTGCACCCTGCAGCGGTTTCCCAGGCCTCTTCTCGATGCGCACATGGTCCCGTTCAGTCGGGGATGAGGGTAGTCGTAGTTGGCCCAATACAGGTCACCAGCTTGGCCCAGAATTGGTCAAATATGACATCAAGAGTGTCTCTGACTTTGTGACTTGGGTCTGGCAGGTCATGCTGCTGCATTTGCGTGACGCTTGAATCTGGGTCTGATGCGGCCGCCATTTTGGAGGCCTCCATATCTGTGTTGCTTGCCTAGCCTTAGTCGTATTTCTCCAAGAGGTATGGGTCACGGGGAGCCCCGTCTGGTGGGGACTGGGATATCCCCCACTGGTCCATAGGGGGGGGGGAAGTATGTCTTGTTCTCTCATGGCCTGTGGCCTTAAGGACCGCAGACGTACTTGGTATGTCAGCAGGGAATTAAAGCGCCATAAGCGATCATGATCGCTTCCAGCAGCTCTATTTGGTATTGCAGTAATGCCTCGATGTTGAGGCATAGCGCAATACCCCCCCCCCCACCACCCCACCCCCCACTGCCCCCCATGTCACGTCCTGTTCTGTTCCATTCTGTTCAGATGTCTGGCCTTGGATTCTGTTATCCAGTACTCTTTTTACAATTCTTGTTTAGTTTTTCTTGGTTTTTCTGGTTTTCTATTCTATGTCTGGTTTTCTTTTTGTTGGGTTTTCTGGGTTCATTCCTTCATTCCATTCCTGGAATTCCCAGTCTCCTGGATTCCATTGAATGTTTGTTTTTTGTTGCCACACATTCCTTTGCCATGAATCCTTTTTGTTTCAGTCTGTACCTGTAAACAGTGGTCTCAATTCCTCTACTCCTTTCTTTGCAGGTAAGTACTGTGTGTGTTTTATTGTTGTTTATTTAGTCATGCATATCCAGGCAGTTAGGAGCCACCTTAATTGGAGTACTTTGGGGCAGTGGTGAGCTGCATACATCTTTGCCATTTATGTATGTCTAAATCTCCAATGTTTATTACATATATAGTACTTAGTTATGCCTCCTTGTTTTGCCTTGGATCTCTTGTCTCGTTTTATGTGTCTTGTATTTCCAGTTCATGTACTGTCCATGTACTGTCCATGTCCTGTTCAAGTTTTCCTCATGTATTGTGTACATATTCTGGGTCCTGCTTTCTGTCCTGCTCCGGTTCTGGGTTCTTCTAGTCTTGTCTTGCTTTCTTGTTTGGTGCCTATTCTAGTCTTACCTTGTTTCTTGTACTAGATACATTTCTGCTTAATATCAGCTCCTGGCATCTGCTAGCTGCATCAGGGCTCTGGTATGGGGCCACACAAACCCTGGTGCACAACACCAGGAGGCGTGTGGTTACCCTGCACCAGACCCTGTTTGTTCATTTCCACGCTGAGACTCCTTTCATATAGGGTTCCCGGTCTTTGGACCGCCACTCGTGGCATATATACCCCCTGGTGTCAATATATATGAATATGTATATATATTTAAATTAAATGTGCATATTTATGTAATATTTTTACATAATTAAGTAATTTTATTGATTGCAATTTGGGGGACCGGCCTGGGACCCAGGCCGAAAGTCCAGAGAATTGAATTTGCTTGCACTATATTTAACCCTGTAACTTTCCAAGACACCCTAAAACCTGTACATGGAGGGTACTGTTTTACTTGGTAGACTTTGCTGAACACAAAAATTAGTGTTTCAAAACAGTAAAACATATCACAATGATGATATTATCAGTGAAAGTGCCTTTTTTTGCATTTTTCACATACAAACTGCACTTTCACGGTTGATACTATTGTTGTGATACGTTTTACTGTTTTAAAACACTAATATTTGTGTTCAGCGAAGTCTCCTGAGTATAACAGTACCCCTCATATACAGGTTTTATGGTGTTTTTGAAAGTTACATGGTCAAATATAATGCAGTTTTTTTCACATAGAAATTTGCCAGATTGGTTATGTTGCCTTTGAGAGCATATGGTAGCCCAGGAATGAGAATTATCCCCATGATGGCATACCATTTGCAAAAGAAGACAAACCAAAGTGTCTTGTCTTGCAAATGGAATATGTTCAGTCTTTTTTAGTAGCCACTTAGTCACAAACGCTGGCCAAAGCCAGCATTCATAATTTTTTTTTCCATTTTTAACACAAACAAATATAAATGCTAACTTTGACCAGTGTTTGTGACTAAGTGGCTACTAAAAAAAGACTGGACATACCCCATATTAAATACCCATTAAATATATGGTTTGATGGTGGTAAATTACATTGGCCGTCTTCAAAAATGTCCCAAATAGGACATGGGTGCATGATGACCAGCTTTGAAAATTCCAAGTTGGAAAACTGAAATGCGCACTCTCCAAATAAGGTCTTTTAGCCCTCAGAGAACCCGACACAGCTATACATGGGTGGTATCACTGTACTCAGGAGATGTTGTCGAACTCATATTGGGTTGTTCTTTGGCAGTAACCTTCAAAGTTCTCAGTACATATATTCTTAAATTGATATATGTGTCAAAAACATCACCAATTATAATTTTTATTTTTTTTAAAATTGGCATAGATTGTGGTAAAATGGTTGCATGAAAAGAGTCAAAATAAGAGAAGTTTAATACCTTAGATTGTCTTCTTTTAAAAAATATATACATATGAAGGGTTATTCAATGATTCCTGACAGATATCAGTGTTACAATGTAACTTGCGTTAGTTTTGGAAAAAAATGGTTTGGAAATAGAAAAAGTGCTACTTGTACTTATTGTCCTATAACTTTCCAAAAAAAGCTAAGAACATGTTAACATTGGGTATTTCTAAACTCAGGACAAACTGTTTTTTGGCGGTTGTAGATACGTAACAGTTCGAAAAAGTGGTTTTTTTTTTACATTTTTTCATAATATTTTATAATGTATTTTATAGAAATGATATGATAAGATGAAAATAATGGTATCTTTAGAAAGCCCATTTAATGATGAGAAAAATGGTATATAATAATTGTGGGTACAGTAAATTAGTAAGAGGAAACACAGCTAAACACAAACACTGCAGAAATGTAAAAAGAGCCCTGGTCCTTGATGGTAAGAAAATTGAAAAACGGTCTGGTCACTAAGGGGTTAATCCAGACACCGAATGCATTGATTGCGATTGCTGCAGATTTGCTTGGACCGAGTGAATTACAATTGTATTTGTCTTTAGTAAATACGAGAATTGCCATCGGAATTTGGTTATTTTCATCAATAGCCAGCGTTTAGTTAATGACCCCATTAATCTTTACGAAATAGTAATGCTGACTGGATTGGAATTCCAAAGAGTCCATAAGATAAAGTAGGGACTACTTTGTCTTGTGCACAAGTCCAAGTCTGGCAAAAGTAGACCATAGGTGGATCTCGCTGTCAACTTTTGACGGTAGCCATCACAAGTGATAGCTGTGGGATTCAGGCATGGTTTTACTCAGCGCAAGACGGGCTCATGTCAAAGGAAGCGCGAGAAGCTGAAAAGGGTTCCCCAAATAAAATGGCAGCTGCCATCAAGGACAGCTTAATGTAAGTAAAACTTACCTTTGACTGCACCCCATAGTCATTGAACCCTAACAGGAGATGGCACTGTAATGAGAGCAATCTCGCCACATTGCATTGAAGAAGCCTGGTTGCTCGCCTGTTGCCTTTGGATTATGGCCATGTCAAAAGACTTATTTTCCCCTGCAGAAAAGACTTATTCGTGCTTTTCTGCCCGGTGTTCGGTAGATTCAACCTACCGAACTAACACACGAATGACTGGACCACCTGGGAGCTGGAGTGTGTCGGCAATTAGCCTCCCAGAAGCTGCCATTTTAAACACGCAAACGCACAGCGGTGTTTGACGCCCAACTCGTGGAACTGAAAACGGATGCATTTTGGCGCGAACACCGCTGAAGCCGCCGACCTCCCTTCTTGTTCGGTGGAAGTGCACGAACGGCCCTGTATTCGGTAGTTGTACCTGACTACACCATACCCCAGATAGGAATCCCGTGGAGCTCATTGGTATGAGAACTGACTTTATGAACACTGGCTCCATGGCAATTAAATTAAACTATTCGTGTGGTCTGAGCGACATTTGCTTAATAATGTGCGCTCAGACCTGAGCTATCTGGGGATATGTTAAATGTATATATTCATTGTAACTTCTGTCACACAGTGTATTTTAATAGTAACTCCTATTCTAGTATCCCCACATGCATAATGGCGATTTGCCTTTGTCCTGGGAGATAATTGAATTACTTCTCAATTATCTCCAGGGCAGAGGGGAGGAAGCCAGGATGCATTGTGGGAATATAATGTGACTGTGTGTCCTAGATTGATACTTGTCTGTCCTTGGTTACAGTCTCCCATTTGGTCCCCTAGGGGAGTGTCCACCAGGTGGGAGACCTGCATAAATACTGGGCAGGTAGCCCTCATTAAACAGACCACTGCTTGACCCTCAACACGGAGCCTTGTCTCGTCTTTGGGGGGATTTACTGTATGCTGGTAGAGACTGATTGCTAGGAGTGTAAGCTGCTTGGGTGCTTTTCCTATTCGTCTGCTAGCAGCTATTCGTGAGGTTCCAGTTCGGGAGTTTGGAGCATTCCCTTATATGCGGTTCGGGAGTTGGTGTTCTGCAGTAGCTGTGCCGGTATCTCTGGAAGGGGAAGATCTCCTAAACGGCTGTTAACCCCTTTTATGCCTGGGGGTGCCATTACAGGCACTTTTTGGAATCTTTGCAAAATATGTTGCTTTAATAACCCACAGTGCCTTTGCAATTAAAACCCCTCCAATTAGTAATTACCCAGTTTACATTAACATAATTGCTCCCCCGTTCTTTTGCCCTACACACGTTAAAAAAAACAAAGCAACAAAAGAACTGTTAAACACACTTATAAGGACATTACACTCACAGAGACTTACATTCATATTTACACACATACACACACATCAAACATTGTTTACATTGTGCACCTTTACAGTAATCCTTTGAGCATAAAATGTATTTTTTCATATATTGTATATTCACAGATATCTGTATTTATTATTTAGTATTTTCAAGATTTGCTCTCTAATTTTTGTTTACTTCTTAATTGTATAAATAATTAACTAACTATAAAAATCAGTTTCCATTTCTCCAGTCTGCATAATAAAATACAAAATTTAATACATCTACTATATTTCCATACATTTTCAAACAAGAAATCGGAAATTAAAAAGGAGAAAACAGTTTGTATTAGGCAATGAGAGAGGGCACAATTGGGTTGTACTGGGCAGTAGAATAGAACAGAGCGAGTTGAGATCAGGGTGAAGGAATGCTGCGTTGGGTTCAGTGTTAGGATTGCCAATAGGTTATTTTTTATCACCACAATTATTTCTATAAACGATGGACAAAATACATAAAATGTTGATTTCCCATGAGTTTAAGTATCTGCTATATCTACCATATTCCTACTAAATAGCAATTTTGTTAAACTTAGCTTTCAGTGATGTCATAATCATAAGTGATGCATAGAGGGTTGTCACAAAGGGACTGTCATTGATACAAATGATACTTCTTCAGCCAGTGTCATTTGATGTCACTTGCTTTACTTGATAGCAGACAATACAACTTTTCCCAATCCTGGATATTTATCACGATACAAGTTTCAGAGTTTAAGACATTTTTCTCAACCATCATCAATAAAAGCAAAAAGTAAGTACAGAAAAATAATACAGATTGTTGTATTTGTAAGCTAAACATAGTTATAATAACAAAACCTATATTTCTAAAGGCTAGTTAGGCTATGATAGTTGACTTGAATAAAAGGGGGGTTATTCGCTACAAATCGAGTTGTGTGACATGAGAACCAGTGTGGACACCTTAGGCAGAGAACATTTTATTTCACTAAACAGACAGATATAGTAATCTAACAACCAACAAACAAAATTTAAACTGTACATATAGCCAAGTTCAGTAAAGAAATACAAATCCAATGAGCTGGAATTTTCTTCCAAAGTCTACCTTTCTGTCCCAAAATATTTCAAGTTGTCTCCTTCTGTTTAGTGAACAAACACCAAAATTTCTAACACACAGATATTACTTTCTACAATCCCTTTCTCTCACAATCCTGTACAATTTCATTTTGAATTGCTAAGTAAAACAAAGTGAAATCTTTAGATCCGTCCCCTATTTCCCATTATCTAAGCTTCGGTCTCCGTTGTCACAGGAAAAAATTTCTCCACCGATACTACAATCAGCCTTCTCTGATCAGGCAGAGAAACTGTAAGGTCTTCCAGGGGACAGGGACAATGCACCCAGACTACTTTAACAAGATGGAGCAGAATGGATGCCCATAGTGTTCCTTTAAATTTGAAATTCAATTTCAATTCACACTTTAGTAAATAACCCTGCCTATGTCTGAATCTATATTTTGTTGTTTTCCCTAGCATTCTAGTTTTCATAAAATACACAAGGAAAGTAGGAACTACTTTTACTTACGTATTGCAGCCAAGTTGACTAAACTTGACAACAGGTGAAGCTTAAAGGACAAATGTCACATAATGACATAATGACATAATCCTGTCAGCAAGTGCTGAAAGGAAACAGATTTTTTTTTTTTAAAAGAGTCAAAAACATCCCTACTTTTAATATATGTCAGGATCCTTCGGCCATATACATACACCCTGGGTCAGAAAGTGTTTGAAAACTGACAGTTAGTCTCTATGGCCTTCCCGGCTTCACTCCTTGCACAGAAACAGGGATAACCATAGAGACTAACTGTCAGTTTTCAAATAGTCTGACCCAAGATGTCACGGTATATAAATAAACCCAACATGCAGAGTATAAAGCCAGAGAAGGAATGCATGTATAAGGGTCCTTAAAGTGGCTGCATAACAGAAATAGTGATCAGAGAGGTAAAAAAAAACAAAAAAACAACAAGCTAAAGTTAAGTGAATTTAGGAATCAGACAAATGAGGTAGAAAGCCAGGTCAGAATATCCAAAAATCCGAATAGTCAGGAATAGCCAAGTCAGTAAACCATAAAATCAATGAATATAATATGAAAGCACTATTGGGACACTTAGGACCCATAACAGAGCACAGGGGATTGTACAAAGCACCCTTTTTTAAATGCTGGGAGATTGTTTGTGGTATTTTGCCACCCCAAAATATAAGATAGAGGAACTTTTGGCCAGTGTTTGTGACTAAGTGGCTACTAAAAAAGACTGGACATACCCCGTTTGCAATAC